GACGGCTCCCCGGCCTGAGGCGGGCGGTGGGGGTATGTGGAGAGGTAAGCGTGATCGAACACCCAATCAGGGGGGAGAGCATGCTAGGAGCCCGGCGGCTAATCAGCGGGTCAATCAGAAATGATAAATAACACCTGTCTTTCTAGTGATTGGGCCGGAGAGACTCCCTTCTTAAGGAGAACGGGAGGAGCAGTCGGGAGAGGAGAGAGCACACACACACACACACCCACGCACACAGTTTGCTAGTGCTGTGGAAAAGCAAAATAAAATATATTGCTTACCTGATATCGCCGACCCTGTCTTCTTCTTCCCACACAACAACGAACAATACTACAATGAGTATCTGAATGGAGGGAAACAGGCTTCATTTGACTCATGCACTGTGTAAATGTATAACATGTTAATTCTGATGAAATATGTCAGTCTGGAATTGTTTGTACATGTTTTTTTATTCAATGTATTGTTTTCAAGATTCGTATCCTACATTACATAATATACAAAGAGGTAGTGAAAACTACGGCGTATCTGACTCTATTGCTCCGGCTGGAAGTAAGGATACGAAACTATCGCTCAACCGGTTGTGCATGCTACCGTCCGTGAAAAAGGCCTATTAGGTTGAACATTACTAAATCTTATTTCTTTGTTTAAATTGTTTGCAGCCATTTTATAGGCATTTTTTTCTAGTGTAGTTGTAGGTTTTGCGCACATAATAAAACTTGACAACTCAATCCAAGTAAGTGAATAAACTAAATGTCTGATTCACTGAATCAGTTTTTAATGTATCAAAAATGGATTCTATGGATTATTTTGATTGATTGATTAATTTTCTTTTTGGCTTAGTCCCTTTATTAATCAGGGCCCGCCACAGCGGAATGAACCGCCAACTTGTCCAGCATATGTTTTACTCAGCGGATGCCCTTCCAGCTGCAACCCATCACTGGCAAACATCCATATACACTCATTCAAACATACACTATGGACAATTTAGCTTACCCAATTCACCTATAGCGCATGTGTTTGGACTGTGGGGGAAACCGGGGCATCCGTAGGAAACCCACGCGAACATGGGGAGAACATGCAAACTCCACACTGAAACGCTGAATGGCTCAGCCAAGGCTCAAACCAGCGACCTTCTTGCTATCTTCTTCTTATTATTATTATTATTATTATTATTGGCGGTTCATTCCGCTGTGGCGACCCCAGATTAATAAAGGGACTAAGCCAACAAGAAAATGAAATAATTATTATTATTATCTAATTACTAATTAAATCCATTTTTGTTTAATTCTTGGTTTACTTCTTGTTTAATCCATTTTTGTTTATGTATTTCTCATTTTTATTTGTTTAATTGTTTTTTAATATAATTAATTGCTGTTATTTTTTGGTTTGCGTAAATATAATTGTGATTGATTTTCTCAGTTTATTAATTGGGTTAAATTACAATTAAGTTTAATCTTTAGCACTTTGAGATCCCAAGTGTTTCATTCGACCAGATAATTGACTGTAATTAATAATTTGATGTATGAAAGAATAATTAGATTCATTTTGTGTTGATGAAAGAGCTCAGCTTGCCCAAATATCAGTGTAGTTAGCTACTTTTTTAAAATGTATATCTTGTGACATGTTTCTAGACCTACACTGAGTCTAGGGGTCCGTTCTTCGTACCTCGCTTAAATGATCTAAGATGATTTGGCAGATCCTGGATCTTTTAATCTTGATAACTGATCTCTCGCTAATTTGGTTCTTCAAACAAGTTCACGAATCAGATTAGAATGTCTGGATAAACTGATCTGAGATCGCTGCGTGTGTTATGAAGGACAGATCTATCGATCCTCGAAATCATGATCAGCAATGCAACGATTGGCTGACGGCATAGCAGCGTAATGACATCATCTGATTAATATTCAATTATCCATGTGAGCAAAATTACATCAAATTAGCAGTAAATGGTTTGTTAAATATGACACGCAAGAACTTTCCACATTTGTTGTGAGCTGCAGGCTTCACACTTTCATTTGTCAAGACAAGAGTATTCATCATGTATTTCAATGCAAATCAATGCATTTAGTTCTACATTTAGAAAAGATTTTCTTTATTAATGTAGCCATTTTTTAATCGGTGTATAAAGAATAACTGGTTGTTTACAAAAGCATTTTGATATTGGTAAAGGTGTCTGCAACTTTTGTGAAGCATCAAATCACTGGCATATTAACTATCAAAACATGTTTATGACTGCATAAATGTATTATTGCTTAAAAAAATCACATATTGTGCATTTCTATTATACACAATTTGTTCTAAAGCGATCTAAAAAGTTCATTTCAATAAGTTTTCTCTTTGCACCAGATGGCAGTCTTTGTACTTTCATTTCGAGGGTGCAGATTGCATACGTTTTATTAATATGTATAACTTTATTTATTTTATTAATGACTATAACTTTATATATATATTTAAAAATTATGTATTATTTTCCCAAGTGTATATAACTACTACTGTAAGAAAATATCAGAATTCGGTAAATACTTTCTGTATTATCTTTGCTTGAACTAAGCCGATCTAATCCTGTTTATATGAATTAAACCTGCTCCCGATCAGGTTTGACCTAGCAGAACTGTTGCCATGACAACAACTCTCGGATCAGCTTTGAAGAACGAAACGATCCTGGATCGTGTCAAATCGTCAATATCCAAATCCAGCTAACTGAGTAATCCACGTACGAAGAACGGACCCCAGGTCAAGTTTTAATCTTGTTTATTTTTTTTGGTCCTGGACTTAATCTGCTCTACTTGTCTGATCATTCATCAAAGCGAAAAATCAGCTTATGTGGCTATTAAAATCCCACATGACTGGTCATTACGACCATAAAGGCCCATCACTGGATAAGTTTGCCATTAAATCCCTGCACAAATGTGCCATGATGAAGTTTTATTCAGCCTCTTAATTGTTCACTTCTCGTTGTGTTTTTGAGTAAGTCAGGTGATTAGTGGCACAGCAGAGTCTGGCTCAGTAATTAGTCCTAAATAACCTCGTTTGCTTCGTCTCTTCATCGCACTTTCTGCCGGTGTTGCTTTCGCCAGAATCGCAGCAGGTGAGGTTCTGGAGGGGGCGACTGTTGCCAGGCGAATGTTGCTAGGCAGCCAGTGACTCCATCAGGGGGGCGATGTGTACCTGCATATAGGAATGTTAAGGGCACTTATGTTCAACTAGGGTGTACATTTAACACAAGAGCACATCTTAGGTTGCATTTCACTCTTAGAAAAAACTAAACAATGACTGCATTTAGATGCATTAATGTGACGGATATGCAAATGAGGGACTTTAATTTGTTTGTATTAATCAGATTGGATTCTAATTACTTTAATGCAAGTAAATAAACACTGTATTTATAAATAGATATACATACTTGATCATTTGAAATGTGATATGCTTAATTTTCGATTTTTTTTTTGGTCTAAAATGATGGAGTTTCATCTTTTTAGTGTGATTTATATAGAAGACGCTTGCTTTTAAGCAGTGTGACAGTTGTTTACATGGCAAAAATAATTTCACTGTAGAACTACAGTAGGAATCATTTGTTTTGGAGATGATCAGATTAAAATGTGAATTAAATTTTGCTATATTATTTATATAAACACAATAAAAATATATAAATATGAATAGGGGGCGACGCAGTGGCGCAGTAGGTAGTGCTGTCGCATCACAGCAAGAAGGTCGCTGGTTCGAGCCTCGGCTGGGTCAGTTGACGTTTCTGTGTGGAGTTTGCATATTCTCCCTGCGTTCGCATGGGTTTCCACCTTGTGCTCGGGATTCCCCCACAGTTACGTTGTGTGCACGTTGGCACTGTGACGTCTAACAGACGTTGGATTTTGGTTTGTCATATCTGATAAATATAAATATCAGTTTGACATCAACATGACGTTGGTTTAAGATGCTAGCTCGATGGTGGAATTTGATCCCTTTCTAACACAACCTAAAATCAACCAAATATCAACATCATTGTTTAACATCAAAATAAAGTCCTTAGATGCTGGCTAGACATTGAAATTTGGCCACCCGAAATCACGACCTAAATGTAACTTAATGTTAACGTCTTATGACATTGTTTGTCTGCTGGGGAAAATTATAAAGGTTTGAAACAAGTAAAAAGGGTGAGTAAAAAAAAATAAAAATAAATGCTGGGTTTCACACATTTGATTTGTGTTGGGACAATGTGAAGGATTTAAGCTTACCTATTAGTTTTTACATATTTAAGTGGATTGAACATAAAACAATCAAGTTATTTTTTCCCGCCAAAAAATGATAAACTGTATTATTTCAGCTCATTTTAAATAAATAGTTTAAACAGACAGCAAACTAAATTTTGAGTGCATATTTCACAAATGTTTGCATACACTTGCATATACAGTATGTCCAGGGCTTTACATTAACACCCGCCAAATGCGGGTAGATTTCGGCGGTGACGGGTAAGGCAGACACTCCCACTAGCCACTTTGGCTGGTTGAAAATAATTTTCCCAGATAATAATTCTTGAAAGCAGGGTTCGGCAATAAGGATGGTCCAATATGCATGCACAGGCGATCGAGAAGCAACACGACTGACAAAAATAATTGCGTTCGCAACTTTATGCAAGCAAAGCAGGTGAATACCGAATGAGACGATAATAACAGCTGAAGTAATGCGCGCGACTGTTTATAACGTGTGTGCGCTCCCGTTTCCTTTTGTGTATCGACTGTGTCTAGAAACAACTGATGCCATCGGTTCTCTTTTAAATAGACTGAACAAAAAGGGAGGAACATGCACCCACAGTCTTGCTGCTTTCAAGAGTTCCAGAGTTGACTTATTGTAAGCAGCGCCAGTTGCTTTCGCTTTAACCATTCTTTGAACAGATCATGGGTCTATCATTAACCATGTGTGTGCATGATCATCCTTTTTATTATCACAATATGTTTTTTACCTGCTTTCTTTTGCATTAATATTGTTTAATTATCTTTTTTTTTTTTTTTACAATAACATTGCTTTAATGGTAGAATACCTCCCCATTTATGTGAAGTTAACTGGTGATATGGGACCTTTAGCCAGGATATATGACTGTTGTACGAAAGGCTGCAAATAAGAGACTGTAACAGTGATATAAAGCAGTGCCTTACTCTGAATCGCGGGGACTTTTATTATGACGCATTGCCGCGCATTGATGTGGAGTGCTTCACAGTTCGGCGCACTTCCGATTTCTCCGTGAATCAGTCATTACGTTCACTCAACGAGGAGAGAAACGAGCCGAGCGAAGTCTGGAGACTCACGGCTGTATATGATTGCTGTTTGTTCCTGTTAGTTTATAAAACTGTGTGCGTCCAGAGGAAAAGTGAGTACTGTGCATTCTGACTGAGTTTAAGGACATTACTGGAGGACTTTGTTTAAGTTTGAGTATGCAAAGCTGACATTATGAGTGAATGCTAATAAGGCCTATATCGTGAGGGAGCTCACATTCAGTTAAACTGTTATATTACAAGTTGTTTGTTATGTAGTCAAATATTATGTTCATTTATCTTAAATACTGCCTTATGTTCACATTTGGGGATGCCAGTAGTTCATGTAATTATGTCACATGTATGTATTGTGATTTATCTGTATTGTGGAAGGAGTAATAAGCACACATTAACAAATATGTTCTTTATTCTGTTTGTTTACAGACCACACACACACACACACAAACACCACACACGGCTCTACAAGTTCATACATGCATAGATGTATGCAAAGTTGGATCTATGCCGTCTTAAGGAAGATTTAAGCACAAGGCAATACAATCATCATCATCCAGTATCCATGCCCATTCCATGTATGTGGTTAGAAGACGTTAACATACAAGTTACAACTGGCTCCCCCTCTGCATATGACTGTAATCAATAAATCATTCAAGTATATTCCTTCTCCGGCTTTGGTGTTCTAACCAACACACCCAGACCAACTCAACTCCCCTATTCAAGAGCTAGCTATTACAGTCCTGAGCTATTCTCATTAACATTTTGGTCCTTCGAGCCGGATACACAGTTGTTCTGGGAACATGAAACAAAGTTGTGAAGCATCCCGGTCCCTATCTACGCGACCTAAGCGACAGCAGAGACTGCCAAGATATCTTGAGGATTATGAGGTTGGACCAATAAGACAGCAGACGCATGTTTCACCTCATTTCAGTGTAATACAGCATATGCATGGACTAGAGGGCTGGAGCTCCCAACAAGGAGGAGCAGCTACGGAAATGGCACATTCACCAATGCCTCGTCAGGTTCAGTGGGAATCGGATGTCAGTGAGTATGATAATTACAGTCCTGGTGGCAGTTTATGTTCTAATGAACCATATACCGAGTGGGCAGATACTTTAATATCACATAGACAGGAAAGAAGTGTGCAGTATAATGTACAGACTGAAAGTACCCTACCTTATAGACATATTGAGGCTATGCCAAGCAGTTATGCACAGCATTGGAGCAACCAGAAGGGAGAACGCTCTCTTGCAACTTCAGCACAGATATCAGAACAATGGCCAATGCCACCTCCACCTGTTCAGCCTGACTTTCCAGCCCAACCTGAAGTTGAGGAGTATGATAACTGGGCCCCGCCTCCGCCATGGCCATCTGCAGAAGTATTAGCACCGCCAGAGCGTGAGGAAAAGGATATGGTTGCTATCATAGATAAAATGATGAATGACCTCCAACTCATGAAAGAGAGTGCTGCATCCCGCTTGACATCAAAGGGTCATCTGGCTTCAACACCCATGAGAACAGAACCTCTACACTTTAGAAAGGCTAGCCAGCCTAACGCCATTCAGTCTCAACCTCGAAGATCACATCATTACTCTCCAGTTGCTGGCTCCCCTCATGTTATTGATCATTTTGAACCTGCAATCCCACCTAGACACTCAGCTAGGCCTCACGTAGTTCAACGAGCCTCCTCTCAATACTTACCATATCAGTCTTCATCAGTTAGATTTGAAGAGAAAGAATACAGAGGGCCGGCACCAAAAATTCCTTTCTTCATTCATAGAGACCCAATGGAGTTTTCCCGGCTGAAGCTTGCCTTGACGAATCTGTTGCCAGCAGAATCCTCAGAGCTTTTCAAATATCAGGTTTTAGTAGATCATCTGAGGTTGGAGGAAGCTTGCCTAATAGCGGACTCATACATTAACTCACCCATGCCATTTTCTGACACGATGGCTGCATTGAATGAGAAGTTTGGGCAGCCACATCATGTTGCTTTAAAGAAGATAGCTGCAGTCATGGACTCACCAGAGATAAAGCGAGGAGACACAGCAGCTTTTGAAAGGTTTGCTTTGCATGTGCAGTCTTTAGTAGGCATGCTAAAAACACTGGGCCCTGAAGGGGAAGCTGAATTAAGATGTGGCTCGCATGTGGCACGGCTGCTTACAAAACTTCCAACAGAGTTAAGGGCAAATTTTCGCCGTCAGATGTTTCACCGTTCAGGCTCTACTCATACCTTGTTAGATTTGGCAGAATGGCTCCATTATGAGTCGTGGTGTCAGGGGTATGATGTCTCATCCAACACACGTGTACAAGGGTTACTAAGTTACAAAGCTGAGAAAAGACATAGTAAACCAGCAGCTTCAGTGCTTCATGGAGCAGAGGGCTCAATGGAGAGTAAGGGGATGAGACGAGAAAGTCAAAGTGCCTTTGAGACCAAAGGGAGAGGCAAGATGAGACCATACTGTCCATACTGTGACAGTTCAGAGCACTTTCTTAACAAGTGCCCAGCTATTCAGAAGCTCAACAGGGAGGATGTAATAAACTGGATAAAAGCAAATAAAAGATGTTGGAGATGTGGAAGATCTCACCAAGCAGCACAGTGTGATCTTAAACGACTCTGTGATTTGTGTCAAGGGAAGCACTTAAGAGTTCTTCATCAGGTGAACACACGTCCTACAGCTGAGCCACCCAAAGAAGAGAGCTGTTTAGTAAACACCAATGCTGAGATTTTGTATTTGGATCGTCCATCAGCTTCCAATAGGGTGCTGCTGAAAGTGGTGAGAGTATTTCTTCGAAATAAAGACCGAACTCTTGACACTTACGCGGTTTTGGATGATGGGTCGGAGCGCACCATGCTCCTCCCAGAAGCCGCTGATCAATTGGGACTACAAGGTAAACAAGAGGATCTTATTCTTCGCACAATACGACAGGATGTCCAAACATTAGAGGGATCAACTGTCTCATTCTGCATATCATCCTCTGCATATCCCAGAAAGGGTTTCCGGATTAGAGATGCATTTACCTCACAACGCCTCAGCCTAGCAGATCACACGTATCCCATCTCTATGCTGAAGAAAAAGTACAAACATCTGGCAGGCCTCCCGATTGAGCCGTTTGAGCATGTTAAGCCACTTCTATTGATAGGAGCAGATCATCCCCACTTACTCAGTCCTGTTGAGCCAGTGAGGTTGGGACCCCCTGGAGGACCATCGGCTATCTGCACAAGACTGGGTTGGACACTTCAGGGTCCTACTCACCTTATCCCGTGGACAACAACATCACGTCAGTGTCTACTTACCAGTGTTTTGCCACAGACTACTGAATTGATGCGAAACGTAGAAAAACTATGGCAGTTAGACGTGTTGCCTTTCCAACAGGATAAGCTAGTAGTGAGGTCAAAGCAGGACAACGAGGCTGTGGAGCTCCTGGAGACAAAGACTAAGCGAGTGGAAGTTTCTGGAATTCTCAGGTATGCCACTCCATTGTTAAGGAAAAAGGATATGCCTCTGTTTCAGGCAACTAAAGAGGTGGTTCTGCCGAGTTTGAGGAGTACAGAGAAACGGTTGGCAAAGGACACTCAACGTGCCAATGCTTACAGTGAGGCAATCCACCAGTTGGTGAAGACAGGAGCTGTCAGGAAGCTGGACCCAGGCGAGATCTCAGCAGATGGTGAGTCCTGGTACATACCACATCACCTAGTGTCTCACAATGGTAAGAATCGGCTTGTCTTCAATTGTTCTTATCAGTTTAGAGGTATGAATCTGAATGATGCCCTTCTTCCTGGACCTACCCTGGGAGCCTCTCTGCTTGGTGTTCTGCTGCGCTTTAGAGAACATGGTGTCGCAGTCAGTGGAGATATAAAGGCTATGTTTCACCAAGTCCAGCTCCTGCCAGAGGATCGGGCACTGCTCAGATTTGTTTGGAGAGACAGACGAGAAGACCCACCTGATACCTTTGAATGGCAAGTGTTACCATTCGGCACGACCTGCTCACCTTGTTGTGCAACCTATGCTCTTCATCGGCACGTCAGGGATTGTAGTGATCCAGAGGATGGTGTTAAGGACTCCGTGGAACGGTGCTTCTACGTCGATAATTGCCTCCAGAGTTTGCCAACTGCAGCAGAAGCAAAGAGGTTAGTAGACAGACTCAGGGAAGTCTTATCATTTGGTGGATTTGAGATTCGGCAATGGGCATGCAATGTCCCAAGTGCCATTAGCCATCTACCAAAAGATGCAAGATCAGACAGTATGGAACGGTGGCTATCACATGATGAGAATGGTCTGTCTGAATCAACTCTAGGACTTAGCTGGCATTGGGAGTCTGACACTTTGGGCTATAAGAGTCGTCCATTGGACTATGGTGTTCTGACCATGAGGAATGTGTATAGAGTTCTGGCTCGGCAGTATGACCCTCTGGGGTTTGTATTACCCTACACCACCCGTGCCAAATTACTGGTACAGAGTATGTGGGATAAGCATCGCAACTGGGATGATCCACTACTTCCTCACGAGCTTCAGCAGGCATGGAAGGAGTGGGAAGCAGAACTCCATTTGTTGCCTCATCTATCACTGCCCCGATCATATGTTCCAGCTCAAGTGGATCAAGCCATTGTCTCCCGACAGGTCCATATATTCAGTGATGCATCAGAAAAGGCGTATGGATCCGTTTCATACATGCGGACAGAAGATGTAAAAGGCCAAGTATACCTTTCATTTCTGGCAGCAAGATCAAGAGTTGCTCCTCGAAGACAACATTCAATTCCACGTCTGGAGCTCTGCGGTGCCCTAACAGCAGCACAATTAGCCAAGATGTTGGAAAGAGAGCTTACCTTGAAAATCGATGAAATCATACTTTGGAGCGATTCGACGACAGTGCTGGCATGGCTGCAATCAGAGTCGTGCCGGTTCAAAGTATTTGTGGGAACACGCGTGGCTGAAATACAGGAGCTTACAAACCCTGATTCATGGCATTATGTAGACTCCTCGCTGAATCCTGCAGATGACCTCACACGAGGAAAGACTTTAGAAGAATTAGCATTGCCCAATCGCTGGAGTCATGGGCCATCCTTTCTTCTTAAAGGACCCCATCACTGGCCATCTCAGCCGACAAAGTTAGCCGATCCAGATATGTCAGAGTGCAGGAAGTCAGTCTTCTGTGGTATCATATCCAATCCTGACTGGCCATCTTCAGTACAAAATAGTCAATACACAACCTGGAAGGATCTAGTTGAGGCTGTGGCACATGAGCTTCATGGGGCGGCTGATTCAAGTAACCCTATTGTTGCCTCAGAGTATCAGCAGGCAGAACTGGTGATTTACAAGAAGATTCAGCAAGACTGTTTCCAAGAAGAGTTGCATTGCCTGAAAAAGGGCAAGCCAGTGGCGCATAGCAGTCGCTTACTTACCTTATCACCAGAACTAGACTCTGAGGAAGGAATCATGCGAGTTGGTGGCCGATTGAGAAGGGCTGAGACTTTAGATCCTGGATCCAAACACCCTATTGTTCTTGATCCCAGTCATCCATTCACCAAACTCCTTATGGAGGATTACGACTCTCGCCTTTGCCACCCAGGGCCAGAGCGGGTATATGCAGAAATACGGCGCAGATTCTGGATCCTGCGTGGAAGGCAAGCAATACGTCATATGCAACATCAGTGTAAGGAGTGCAGAAGGTGGAAGGCCAAGCCATCAGTGCCTAAAATGTCAGACTTACCAGAGGCTCGTCTTCGCTTGTATAAGCCAGCCTTCTATTCCACTGGCGTCGACTGTTTTGGGCCCTTCCAGATTAAATTGGGACGCAGGTCAGAAAAGAGATGGGGCATTATTTACAAATGCCTCACTACCAGAGCTGTACATCTGGACCTCATACACAGAATGGACTCAGACTCCTTTTTGATGAGCCTTAGGAGATTCATCGCCCGTAGAGGTACTCCAGCAGAACTCTACTCAGATCAGGGCACAAATTTCAAGGCAGGGGAGAAAGAGCTTAGGGAGTCCTTTGATAGCATGGCTGCAGAGCTTCAACAACTACTAGCAAAGCAGAAGATTGCCTTCCATTTCAACCCCCCTGCAGCTCCCCATTTCGGTGGAGCCTGGGAGCGGGAAATAAGATCAGTCAAATCCGCTTTGTATACCATCATTGGAGCACAGTCAATCTCTGATGAGGTACTTCATACCGTCCTGCTGGAGGTAGAGGCAATATTGAATGCGAAACCGCTAGGATATACCTCATCTAATGTTGCAGATGTAGATGCTATCACCCCAAACGTCCTCTTGATGGGGCGGCCTGATGGAGCTCTACCGCAGATAGTGTATAATAAGAGTGAAGGACTTAGCAAAAGAAGATGGAAGCACTGTCAAGTCCTAGCAGACCACTTCTGGTCCAGATTTATAAAATCCTACTTACCCACCATGCAACAGCGGCAGAAGTGGCATACTGACACAGCTGACCTCACAGTGAACTCGGTAGTTCTGTTGATGGACCCTCAACTCCCAAGGGCTCTTTGGCCAATCGGAAAAGTCATAAAGGTGCACCTGAGCGCTGATCAGCATGTAAGGTCAGTGGATGTTCAGATTAAGGACAAAATTTACACACGACCAGTTGCCCGTCTCATTGTCCTTCCAGCCCTCCCAGAATCAGATGGAGAGTCCGCTCCCCTGTCATGACTCACAAAGACAGTAAGCCTTTCTTAGGAACAAATTGCATGCAATTTGGGGGCGGCTGTACGAAAGGCTGCAAATAAGAGACTGTAACAGTGATATAAAGCAGTGCCTTACTCTGAATCGCGGGGACTTTTATTATGACGCATTGCCGCGCATTGATGTGGAGTGCTTCACAGTTCGGCGCACTTCCGATTTCTCCGTGAATCAGTCATTACGTTCACTCAACGAGGAGAGAAACGAGCCGAGCGAAGTCTGGAGACTCACGGCTGTATATGATTGCTGTTTGTTCCTGTTAGTTTATAAAACTGTGTGCGTCCAGAGGAAAAGTGAGTACTGTGCATTCTGACTGAGTTTAAGGACATTACTGGAGGACTTTGTTTAAGTTTGAGTATGCAAAGCTGACATTATGAGTGAATGCTAATAAGGCCTATATCGTGAGGGAGCTCACATTCAGTTAAACTGTTATATTACAAGTTGTTTGTTATGTAGTCAAATATTATGTTCATTTATCTTAAATACTGCCTTATGTTCACATTTGGGGATGCCAGTAGTTCATGTAATTATGTCACATGTATGTATTGTGATTTATCTGTATTGTGGAAGGAGTAATAAGCACACATTAACAAATATGTTCTTTATTCTGTTTGTTTACAGACCACACACACACACACACAAACACCACACACGGCTCTACAAGTTCATACATGCATAGATGTATGCAAAGTTGGATCTATGCCGTCTTAAGGAAGATTTAAGCACAAGGCAATACAATCATCATCATCCAGTATCCATGCCCATTCCATGTATGTGGTTAGAAGACGTTAACATACAAGTTACAACTGGCTCCCCCTCTGCATATGACTGTAATCAATAAATCATTCAAGTATATTCCTTCTCCGGCTTTGGTGTTCTAACCAACACACCCAGACCAACTCAACTCCCCTATTCAAGAGCTAGCTATTACAGTCCTGAGCTATTCTCATTAACAACTGTGCATATGTTTTGTTAAAGAAAAAGTATAGTATTCAGCTATTTTTAGCTAGTTTCGACACATTTAAAATTTGTGTCTAAAAAATAAATTTATGTACTGTTTATGTATGGTGTGGTCAGAGATACATTGGATAAATCCATAATTTTGGGCTCTGAAAATTATAAAAACCAAGTGTAATATATGAAACCCTGACCCATTTGCTCATGATTATTGAGCAAGCTCATACACGACACACAAAAAGTGAAATGCAGACATCTCAAGTCTCCCGGAAGTTGCGGGAGTATCCCTGAAACGCATAGATACTCCCGGATGCCCGCAAATGAATGATAATCTCGCGGAAATCGCGCGTCTGCTGCCCGGCCCTTAAATACGTTGCACACCCCTCTCTCCACCGCAGCCGTACTAGCTCTTCAGGTACATCTCGCACAATTCACCCCCACCGTTCTTGAACTACGTCTCGCGCAACTCACCCCCACCCTTCTTCAGGTACGTTGCGTGCAACTCACCCTCACCGCTCTTCAAGTACGACGCGCGCAACTCACCCCCACCGCTCTTCAGGTATGTTGTGTTGCCCCCCTTCTCAGATACGTCGCTTACTACTCAACCAACAACGTCCCCTTCCTTCCAAACCAACCAAACCCGTCCCCCCTGACACCCGCCCCATCCCCCCACCCCACCCCTTGTAGCACCTACTATGCCACTACCTAACGCAAATCAACTCTGTATCCCCCGTAAATGGCTATTTACAACTTGGGATGTCTGGAAATGAATGAGGAGGCATGTAGAGATAATGCAAACTCTAAATCAAGTAATTTTAGCATGTCAAAGTCATATGTATGTGTATAAAATATATTTTCACAGCAGTAAAATTGTGGCTATTAAAAATGGCGAGTGGCTAGTAATGTTGGAAAACTACCAGCCACAGTAGATATTGATCAAAAAAGTTAATGTTAAGCCCTGAGTATGTCTATAAAATGACTTGCATGAATTAAATTTGATGTGGATTGCACCATTACATCTCAACACACACACACACACACACACACACACACAACAGTTTACGCACCAACACAACAAATCTAATCTAGCGTTATTTCCTCAGTGCTCTCCTGCAATGTGTTCTCCACATCTCGCTGGCGTTTTTCTGAGGAAATCATTTTAATTCAGCACATGTACAGACCTTGCAATGCACCGCAAAGCACGCCGCAGTTCCGAGTTTTCAATTGAAGTGCTCAGAAAACGTCTGAATCACGGCGGGCGGTCTTTGTGGAATTGAATCATTTTTGTTTTGTCACTCATTTCTGCTGCATCCTTGAGAAGAAAAAAAAAAAAGCCAGCTGAAAAACTTGGAGAGCAGAGAGAAGCTCGACGTGTCGTGAAACTGACAGGTGTGTTTGGCAGTTTTTCCCAGTGTTTTGTCCGCGGTTGTGATTATATATAATTGAGTGTGGAGGGAGCGTTGCATTTTAAGATGTCAGGTGCCGGCGCAGCGAGACGCCACGCTTGATCTGAACAGTTGGGTCTCCATATGCCACACAGCCTCAGATCACTCATTCTCCAGCAATCTCAGAGAAACAACACTGGATTGACGCTCTCTGGAGAGCTCTGTCATGCAGAATATGTTTCCACTACTGTACAGTATGTTTACAGGGATTTATCTCTGATAAACGGCCAATGATTCAGCTTCTTTAAACTCAGCGGACCCGGTACCGGGTTCGTGACATCATCGACATTTGCTTTCAGATTTAAAGGGCTAGCTTTGCACCAGACCCCCGTAAGTGGTGGCGTTTGAAAGTGTAGAATCTATACTTTATGCACATATGCATCACTTTGGTTTTTATTCTACTGTCCAAAAGTTATTTACACTTAAATACACAGTATTTTGGATACCCGAGCTGGGTATTTTACATTGTTTCATTTTCCTATTTTTTTTATATGACACATGTACAAGTTATAGCTCAAATGAAAGCTCTTGCCGGTGCTCATAAAGTTCTAGCGTTCTTTTTACTGAATTATATTCATATGCCAAACAGTTGCCGAATGAATTGCGGTGTTTCCATGGCTCAGAAACGTAAACAATACATTCATGATCAATAAGCAGCCCCAGATAGCACAGACAGCTGTCATCTCTTACCTTATGCTGTGCCCTTCAGGGCCATTTCTCCTCTGATTTTGAGGTGATGTGCATAAGTAATCCTTTTATATGTCTGACGTGGTCCAAACACAGTGAATTATGTTTGATCAAACACAAGAATAGTGAAATATGTAAACAATGATCACTCCCTGTGGCTTGTACAGCACCTCTCATCAGTTGGAATACAATAACTTTTGCATAGATTATGGTAGAGACATTTGTCTTTTATTCTATGATTACAGACATGTGCAGGAACCACCAAAATTAATTACAGCACGCTAGACCACACAGAACCTAAAAGGCACACTTTAAAATTTGAGTTTGTAAAAAAAATACAAAAAGCGCCTCTTTTTTTAGGTGTTTATTATAACACAGACAACATATACAGCAATTTTAAACACTTTCAATAGTGTTTTATGAAAATTCAAAGGGTTTTCTTTAAAATGATACCAAATTTTTGCATTTACACCTCTGCATGTGGATTTGGGAAGCTTTTAAATTTGGGTAGGCAAAATCCAGGCGGAAATCCCCAAATAGCAGCAGAGTTTAAGTGGTTAAAGATGTCTGTAGATGCCCGTTGAAACTAAATTGAACATCGCAACACTAATGTTCTGGCCATAATAGAAAATGCTGGGTTTCATACAATTTCTTCATGTTGTCCCAACACTATCCATTAAGTTAACCTCATTGTTTTCACAAATTTAGGTGAATTGAACATTTTTCACCCCTCAAAATTTGTATTGATTAAACAGTAAAGGGATAGTTCACCCAAAAATGAACATCAAGTGGTTGAACACTGAAAGAAGGTAGTTTGAGGAAAGCTGAAAACCTGACATGTATGTAGCTTACAGCTTTTTTTCCCTTCAAAATATCTTTTAATTGGGTAGGCTAAGTTGTCCATAGTGTTTGAATGTGTGTGTGGATGTTTCCCAGAGATGGGTTGCAGCTGGAAGGGCATCCGCTGCGTAAAAAATGTGCTGGATAAGTTGGCGGTTTATACCGCTGTGGGGACCCCGGATTAATAAAGGGACTTAGCCAAAAAGAAAATGATTGAATGAATGAACATCTTCTTTTGTGTTTAAGAGAATAAGGAAACTCAAATGGGTTTTGATCAAGTTAACCTTCCTGTCGTGTTCGGGTCAAATCTGACCAATTTTCAACATAAATCCCTCATAAATATTGGGTTTTACATCTGACTGCCTCAAGGCCTTAAGATATCCTCCACACTCAGCACTTGAACATATAAAAGTGATGATGACCTCTTTCATTGAATTTTAAATGTTTTAATCAACCTTGTTACACCTGTGGTGTTCCCGGTCAAAAGTGACCACCATAGGAAATGAATGGGTATCCAGACTATATTCATCCATTAGACAGAAAACATTCCCTTACACACCGCCCAAACTCACTCACTCCCTCACACACTTCTTTCTTTCTTTCAGCTTTGGTCTTCTTTCAGTTTTGTGTTGTTGCATGTCATTTTAAATAAGTAGTAAGTAGCAAAAAGTCATGTTTAGCATCTGTTTTCCTCTCATCACATTAAATTCACACTTTAGTCTCAGAACATTGGGTAAAACCAGAGATCACATTGCCTCCCCGCTGTATTTAATCTGACATTCTGTTCATATCAGCACAAGAAAACTGATCTTCAAGGGTTGTTAATGGAACTGAACATCATTAAATTCTTTTTTTCTTGTAATGCCTGCTTTGTTCAAACCATATCATGGCAGCTCAGAGCTTTTTTTTTCTCCCTCTTTGCATGTAATGGGAAATTAAATACATAAAGTTAATAAAGTGAAATGAGAGGTGGAGAGATTGGTGTTGTGTTAGCGGGAATGAAAGCGACGCCGAAAAGAAATCACAAAGCCGTCGGCGTCCGCACTGGGAATTCTGCACACTAATCGACCAATTAGAGCTTTCAGGTTTTGGCGGAGAGATGTGACGCAAAGCCCGGCCTGTCATTTAATCAACTTAATTCTAATTTAAAACTGACAGAGTGCATGTGAGCTGTTTGCTTAAGTTGAATAATTGCATATTTGTTTCGCTCTCGCTAACAGAAAAAAAAAACACATTTGCTTTAAAATCGCATTACAGAAATAGGATTCAGTATTGAGTGCGACAGATTGATAACTTCCCAGCAGGCAGTTTTTAGATCGTGATTGTTCGGTGATCCACGTCATTTTGAAAATGTAGTTTTTTAGCGAACAAACCATCATAAAAAATACTCATTATAGTATTAATGAGACAATCATGATAAGCCTATTTTGTTTCATTTTCTTTGCTTCTTCGTCTGTGTGTATCTGTACAGTATGTCAGTTCAGTATGTTCACTGTTACATAACTGCCCCCTGCTGGTCATGTCTTTCTTGTGTTAGATCATTTTGTGCTGTGCCGCACAGTACTGCAGCATTGCGTGTGGTCACGTTTATTTACCCGCGCATTCTCAGTAGCCACATCTGTAAAATCCACAAAATATCAATGTCGTTATTGGACGTCAAAATAACATTGTCCTTGGACACTGACATCCTAAATCTAACCTAATATTAATGTCTTATGACAATAGCCCCTTTCACACATACAGACCTTTCCGGAAAATTGCCGGCAATTTTCCGGAAAGGTTGTATGTGTGAACAGGTCCTTTTTGAAAATACCAGTAAATTCGTTCTGGCTATTTTCCGGAAAGAGAAGTTGTAACATTACCGGCAATTTGCCGGAATGCTGCGCTGTGTGAATGCAGAAGGAAGATTTCCGTAATAATCGCGTG